AAAATGCAATTGTATTAAAGTCAATAAGTCCATTGTTGAACATGGAACTTGAGATTGAATACATTTTTAAGCTTGTTAATATTAATTAATTGTTGGTTCTCTTTCAATTAATCAGACTTTTTTCTACATTGTCAATCGGTAAACAAACAATATGTACAATTTTTTTTTTGATTTTTGACCATTAGAAGGATTCTTTCAGATAAATTTTTTTTTGATCTTGACCATTGTGGGATGGATAAGAAAAAATTTACCTTTCGGATAAAATCCATCGAAAAATTTCCTTTTGGAGAATCCTGACATTGAAACAAGGTAAATAATCTCACATTGTATTGGAACATTATAAAAACATCGCCAGTTCACTTTATTTTCAGGTAAAAAAGATTCAAATAACAAATCCTTCAATAATCAGATACAAGGGAGAAAAAGTTCAATAAAAATTTATAAATTTTTGAGTAAATCTCAAATCTCAGAACCACTATCAAACTCATAACCTAATGTCAAACTGTTACTATAATCCTGCTGCTCTTTTAAATAAAGGCTCTTTAGTAAGCGAATTACACTATGGACCATTTACTTATTATTAATGTCAGCCTTCTGATAATGGAAAAGTATTCTCTATTCGTGGTTTTTTTTTAGATCAGTAAAGAAGCAATCTTTGAAAAGGTAGGTAGGTGTCTTTGAAAATATACAATAAGCCAATAACACCAACTACTACATCTTGAAAACAATGGCCATTATTGCTCAAGCACTAGATTATTTTAAAGTCTTTGCACTATCATTATTATTATTACTAACTTAATATTTAAAAAAATAGGTTAGCAAACAAACATAATGACCTTTTTTTATTCATTTCACTCATTCATTCATTAAAAGAATACAGATTACTAACGTTCATTAAAAAAGAATACAGATTACTAACATCCAATAAAAAGAATACAGATTACTAACGTTCATTAAAAAAGAATACAGATTACTAACATTCATTAAAAAGAATAGAGATTACTAACATTCAATAAAAAAGAATACAGATTACTAACATTCATTAAAAAAGAATACAGATTACTAACATTCATTAAAAAGAATACAGATTACTAACATTCATTGTATTAATGAAAACATTCTAGTTGGGGCTTTTCAATAGAAACGAAACATGTTGTGAAATGATGTTTTTATTATCAATATTAAAAAATAATTAATCAATAAACGTTCAATATTTTTGTAACACAAATGTAAATATCCATGTTCATATATTAATTTCACCTAACTCGGCCAAAAACTTTCACCCCCGAGAAGCGAATCCCATTTTTGGTAAGCCAAATAGTTTCCTGTAGCTAATATAAATAAAAGATCCATGTACATATTAGGGTTTTTTTTTAATTATTATTCTCAGGAAAAAACATGTCGTTTACTCGTCAAGATTTTTTAGCATTGGAACATTTATTAGCAAACGATAATCATGAAAATCGTAAAGCGATGATAAATTTTATGGCCTCTGATCCAATTTATATACCAAGATACAATGTTTCTTTGGAATTTGAAAGAGAATTGGCTTTACAAAGATTAAAAAAATTGGCTGATCAAAAATTCATTTCTGTTCTTGACTTTGAAAAAAATCCATTGAATATCTTTGCGGGTAATAATATTCGAAGGAGAAAAAGAATAGTAACAATAATTATGTAATTTTTTATTTACTTATTATTATATTTATTTGTTTACGATTAAATAGCACATGAAATTGCAGGAATGGTTGATGGATCAATGGGCACAAAGGTAAATAAAAAAGATGATTAAAATTTGAGCTGCCAATCAATCCAACAGTTTGTTCAATAATCTCAATTAAATCATGCCAATTCAATTATAGATGACAGTTCAATGGAATTTATTTGGTGGAAGCGTTATAAAATTAGGAACAGAACGGCATAGACATTTGCTACCAGGAATTGATAATTTAAACGATATAGGATGTTTTGGATTGACAGAATTGGGATTCGGAAACAATGCGGTCGAGATGCAGACCACGGCGATTTTTGATGAAGGTAGCCGTGAATTTATCATCAATACTCCGTCCACTTTGGCACAAAAATATTGGATTACAAATGTATGTGATGGGGTGGGGTGTATGCGTGTGTGCGCGCGCGCAAGAAAGAGAAAGGATTTGATAATTAAATAGTATTTGATAATATAATGACATCAATAATAATGTTTTTTTTTGTTATAGTCTGCTGTTCATGCTAAATGGGTAATTGTATTTGCACAAACTTTTATTCGTGGTCAAAATGAAGGTATTCATGCAATACTTGTAAGACTTCGTGATGACAAGTATGTATTCTTTCAATTAATTTGACTATAACGGTGATTAAACATAATTATAAATACAATTTTACATTTAACCATAATAATAGTATGAAGCCTTGTAAAGGAGTTGTTATTGAAGACATGGGTGTTAAATTTGAATGCAATGGTGTTGATAATGGTAAATTGTGGTTTAAAAATGTATGTATGTTATATGTTTTTTTAATTCTAGTAATTACAATGTGTCCATTATTTATATATCAATTAATATATATAGGTAAGAGTACCAGTAGATAATTTATTGAATAGATTTTCAAATATCGATGAAAATAATAAATTTACAAGTTTAATTCCTAATAGAAGAGGGTTAGTTCTTTTTCCTTTAGGATATTAAAAAAAAAATGATTATAATAATAAATTAATTTTATATTTTTTTTTAATTACTGTCTTAAAGACGGTTTTTAAAAGTAGCAGATCAATTACTTTCTGGTAGATTAGCGATTGCTTCATTACATACAGGTGGATCTAAAGGTAAGCAAGTATTAAATAAAAGTTCTTAATTGATTCGTATAATTATATATATATAACTCACACATTTTTATTTATATTAGTTTGTCTGGCGATTGCATTTCGTTATGCTAATTCAAGATTAGCAGTTGGTCCAACTGGTAAAAGGTAATAAATTATATTTTTATAATAATTTATGCTTGTTGTAAAATTTATATTATTCATTCATTCACATTTGACAAACTTCTCTCATTTTCTCTCTATGTTATTGATTTTTATAGCGACACACCAATTTTGAAATATCAATTACAACAAAATGCATTAATCCCACTGCTAGCACACACAATAGTCTTGAACATTTTTCTAAATTATTGTAAACAAAGATGGTCAATATTTTCTACATCACCGTTAAGTTACCGATTGAGCAACAATAATGAATCATCGGAAATTGTAAGATTATGTTGTGTGGTAAAGCCATTGATTACTTGGAATAGTGAAAGAGTTGCTAGTATTTGTAGAGAAAGATGTGGGGGTCAAGGATTTATGGGTATCAATAGATTTGGTAATTATATTGGCTTTTCTCATGCTGGTATGACCGCTGAAGGTGATAATAGCGTATTGATGCAAAAAGGTATTTATAATTATAATTTAGAGTTTGGTTGTATAACATTATTTTTTATTTATTTATTTTCTTTTGATTTATTTTTTAGTTGCCAAGGAATTATTAGCAGATGTCAATTCAGGAAAATATAAGTTGCCTGTTGTATCAGATTTTAAAAATTCTAAATCATGGGATTTAAATAATTTGGAAAATCAATTGAAATTACTTAGATTAAGAGAACAAATTTTAGTAAAACAAGTAAATATATATCTACTGATCTTTGGTGTGGGTTGGGAGGCATAATTAATTACCAGATAGCATTATTATATTTTTTTTTGTTGAAAGCAAAATCATTTATCTTTTGATATTAATAATATAATGTAATCTTTTTTTCCAAATCCAAATATTCATTTGTTTAATTATAGCTTGATGACAATATGGCTAAAGGTTTATCAACTGGCAGTTCAATTTTCGAAGTATGGATGTTAAATCAATCAGATCTTGTACAATCAGTTGCAAAAGCACACGGTCATAGAATTGCAATGGAACAAGCATTATTAGCGATTGACGATAAAAGATTACATCAAACTAATGGTACGAAAATCTTATTGAAAAATATAACCACTTTGTTTGGATTGAATTTGTTAGCTACGAATATGTCTTGGTATTTAACGAGCGAATTAATTAGTATTGAAAAAGCAAAATTGCTTGATGAATTGATCACTGCTAGTATTAAGGTATTGTCGCCACACAGTCTTGATATTGTTAATTCGTTAGGCGCTGATGAAAGAATATTGTTTGCTCCTATTGCCAATAATTGGGAAAGCTACAATATAACAGATAATCAAGGTAATTAATTATTTTTATTTTATGAAAATTAGTAAAATTGAATGGATATATTAACAATGTTGATTTGTTTAGGTGAATTGGTTAGCGACATTCATGTAGGATTAAAGAGTAGATTGTGAAATAATCACTATATATTTATTTATATATTTATTGCTATTTATATAATACTATCTCGAATTAATAAAGTTTAGAAATATATATACTTGTTGCTATATTTATATTTATATTTATATATTTATAATATTATTCTTGAATTAACACTTCAATAAAAAGGTCAATAAAATCTTTCTTTATATTGTTACTATTCCAACTTTTTGCCTTGACATCATCATCACCTTCACCGTCCTCATAATTATTACCGTAAATATTAGTTAAAAATTTATTTAATTCATCATTTGAAATATTAACTAAAATCAAATTTTGTTCAAAATCATAATTTATATTTTCACTTTTAATTAATTGATTTCCAATATGTGCTTTAATCATCTTTGCACCGATTTCTTTCTTCCCACTTCTACCCACGCCGGTTCCAATTTCTTCTTCAGTAATATTTAAATAAATTCCACAAATCCCGATTCCAAACATCAACTCACAATTATAAATCACTCTGACGTCATTATTCTTGTATTTGAAATTATAATTTGGCAAAAGCGGATTACTTTCCAAATTTGATGATATAAAGCACGAATTTTCTAATTTAATTAACGCTTTTGATCCATTATATTTGTCAATTAAACCAAATGATGTCATTCTGACCGTCAATTGTGATGATGATGTTGTTGATAACTTTATTTTTTTGATTGGTGAAATTGTTAAAATGTCAAATGATTTTGGATTTAGTATGATTGGTATTTGTTTATTAAATTTTGAATTGTCTAACAGTCTAATCGGTGATGATGATTTAATTGAATGGTTATTGTTATGAGAATATAAAGCATATTCTAAACAATTATAACCATTACAATTAATATTATTACAACACTTGACGTTATTATAATCACTATTATTACGAAAGTTATTCTTAATGGAGAATATTTCATTTAAACAAAATGTATCCAACACTCTAACATCTCTACAATTCCAAAATCCTACAACACCAATATTATTGCCATTAAAGTTTATGATTCTTAATAATCTATTAATTTCTTTTGGATTTACGAATAAATTGACAAGTGATGGTAAGGCTGGTAATTTTGATCTAAGTATTTTATCTGGTAAATTTCTTGATTCTGTTACTGAAGTAGTAGAAGAAGAAAATGAAGATGGCGATGGTCGTATTGGTAAGGAAGGTGATTTGATAATACATTTTTTTAAAATAGAGATATCATGAGAATTTTGATAATCTGTAATATAGATTGGGCAATTTGAAATCGACCTAGCTGCTGCATGATACGAGCCTAATACACTAGCAGATTGAAACATATCCCTAAAAAAAAAAAATCAAAAAATCATTATTTCTTGTATAATAATAATTATTTTATAATGAAATAACAACAACATAATTTACCAATCTGGAATCCAATCAAACATACTTGTCCAAATGTTATTCATTGTATTTGTATAAATATGCCAAGAATCAGAGTCTTCATTATGAGGACAATAATCATTACTATTTCTATAAAAAAAAGTTTTTTTTTTTTAAAAACAAAAAAAAGCACTTATAATAAAAAAAAACCCCCCGTTAAAATTTTATTTACCTAAATAAAATTTTTGCAAGATGATTTTTTTCTTTAATATTAAATATTTCATTATAATAGAAAATATTAGGACTGTTTGCCATACAATAAATCAATCTATTGTTGAAGTATTTACAAGTATTTAATCTTAATGATGATTGATAATCTTTCCACCAATTATAATATTCATAATTTTTTGAAGTAGTTGTTGTTGATGATAGTAATAAATCAAAACTTGATTGTGAATCAACCTTTACAAAATTTATGCCTTGTTCATGAAGATAGTTATAAAAGTCATTATAAAATTGATTGATATAATTAGGCTTGATTAGATTGATTTTGCGATCATGATCTTCTAGATTGATTAATTTTGTTTTATAATTTAACGAAATCCTTGAATTCGGATCTATTCCGTCCCAATATCCCCATAATGTGTGCCTATGACAAAATATACGATATGCAATATTATTACTATCATCATAATTATCATGGTTTTTTTATTTTTATTTTTTTTCCTACATACCAAGCACCAAAATATTGTAAATATGGGAACTTTCTTTTAGCTTCATCAATAAAACCCTTTAATCCTTGAGGAAATTTATACTGATCCGCCTCAATATCTTTTAATTGTTTTTCATTATTTGTTTGTTGCCATCCATCATCTAATAATAAATATCCAATTTTGATTCCATTAGAATCCAATGATTCCAAAACTCTCAAAACATCTTGATGTGATACTCTTTCATAAAATCTATAATATTATATTAGAAGAGGGAAAATAAATAAATTTGCTAAAAAGGATTCAATAATTATTTTCGTATAGTTGTAATGGTAATTTTCCTACATACGCATTCCAAGTACAATATCCTAAAGTATCATAATATTCATTATCACTATCATCATTATTGTCATCGTCATTATTGTCATCATCATTATTGTTATCACTATCATTATCACCATTATAATTATCATCATCATAATTATAATCATCATCACCATTATAATCATCATCACCATTATAATCATCATCACCATTATAATCAATTTCGTCATCGTCATCTTTATCATCAACAATGACCCAATCTTTTTTATCTATGCCGCTTAATGTAGGCAACTCTTCTTTAATAATGTTCATACAAATTTGAGAAATATCATAAGGGTTATCTGGACCAAGTCCAATAGCAAAACTAACATCCAACGAATCTTGTTGATCACTTGTTGTTGTTGTGCTCAAAACTCTTAAAGTTAAATTACCTTGATCATCTGATGTAAAACTAGTTGTATAATCATCAGTTGTGATTGGAATAAATACCAAGTAATTTCCCGTAGATTGTTGAACTATCAAATAAAGTAAATTATTTGAAGATTTGATTTTATCTAATTTCTTTAGACCAATTGTTGGTACAAGCCAATAAACCCTATTGATATATATCGTGGCGTTGATTATTTTCGAATGTTATATTATAGATACATTTAAGGGAAATAAATAAATAATACATACCCAAGTCTTTCAAGCCCAAAATATCTTAAAAAATTATTAATTTTACCAAGATTGATTAATTTTTCATTGCCACCATTTTCATTATTAAATTTAACTAATTTTTTTATAATCCAACATTCAATATTTCTTTCATTATATTTATTAAAATATCTAATGTCTTGATCTTTATCATTATCAAAATCTTTGATGAAAATATTCTTAATTCCACTATCATCATTTCCTTGACTCTCTTCCTCATTATTATTATTAACGTAAACTAAGGCATTTTGATTTTCTTTTTCGCTCAGCCAAACCCAATAATGATCATGATAGTCAACTAATGCCTGAACTTTTACAGTAAATTCATACCATCCCTCCTGAACATTTTTAGTATCAATAGTACATTGAAATATTCGATAACTCTCATCCTGATGACATCCTATTATTGGCATAAAATCTTCTTCATTATCACTAATTGTCAAAATCTCTTTAAATTCAAGCTCTAGCCATCCAATTGATTCAAATGAATTTTTGATATTGGTCCATAGTCTAACTTTTAATGGATTTGGTGAAGTGTAGATACCTTCGGATATTATCCAGACTGTAATTTGTAAAGGTTCTGGTGATTTAATAAATGTGTTTGATTGTAAAGCTGGTTGAACAAATGCTCTCATATTGATAATTTTATGAAAAATTAAAAATTTAAAACATGTGAAAATCTTAAAATTCACAATTGCATCTGATATTGGAGATCAGGGTGCGAAATATAAAGTAGCCTATTTTAGAAAGGTAAACCAATTTATCGGACATTTATCGGACATTCTAAAATTTTATCGGAATTTCCTTTGTGGTGATAGTAATGCTGTAAGTACGGGTTTGGTTAAACCCAAAGTTACACAGTAATACAAATTAGCGAGGGTCAGTCCATTAGACTTGTAAACTATTTCAATCAATCAATACTCCATTGTTAAGATAAAAAAAAAGATCGCCTGATCACACCCGACTAATTAAAAACTTGTGCGGAAATTTTTTTTGGTACGACGGATAAGAAAATCAGCAGATTGGCTATATATAATCTAAAAAAAAATCACTTTTCTTATTGCCTTGAATGGAGAGATCATTTCAAAAATTAGGGGTTTTGACTTGAGATTCAGCCATTTAAGAAAGATAATATGGACCCCATATTAGAAAGGTGATCAAACACGTTTTTTTAATATGGTTAAAGCATGAGATCTATTACTAAGTATGGCAAAGTCACACTAAATTATTCTATATACACGTTTTTCATAAATTTCCAAAAAAATGGTGTGTGACGTCTTGAGACAAAAAAGTCATTCACACAAACAAACGTAGCCAACATCCAATCAATTTCCTCGATCTAATAATCATAAGACGGTTGTCGAATTAACCAATCAACTAATTAATCGACATTTTACAATGTCACGTTTACTTTATTTATTTATTAAAAATATTTGTAATAGATCCGTGGGAAATTTGTTAGTGAAAAAAATTTTTTTTCTTGTGAATTGGAAATTTTAGGTAAGTTAATATTAATAATATGCATAATAAACATGAAAAAAAAATTTTTAAAATTATAACAAGATTTTATTATGGTGACTGATAAGAATCATCTATATTTATTATATTGTTATTATTATTATTATTATTATTAATTGTCTGAGAACTATTTTTTGGGAGATAAGATCATAAGATAATTAATTAAAAAAGAAAGTAAAAAAAAATTTTTTATTTATTGATTATCTTTTTTATCATTTATATCATCCATCATATTAATTAATTTGCTTTTGTGCTACGATGAAAATAGCTTAAAACGTTTCGTGGGAGAGTGTGCATATATATTTATTTATATTTATAATAATAACTGAATTTTAAATTGTAGATGTGTAACAACTACGCCTACATTGCGAGTTAATAAAGTGAAAGATGTTGTGAGAGATATTGTGAGATATTGTGAGAAAAAAAAAGGTTGCTTCTTGTTGTTTTCTTATCAGTTAAAAAAAATTTTTTTGTTTATTGTTTTATTTTTCAAAAAAAAATTTTTTACAGCAAATTAGGAAACCAAAAAAATTTTTTTGATCCCTCACTCTTGTATGTAATTAATAATTAGCGTTAACATTTTCTCACATGATATATATATAGGAAATCATTTATATATTTAAACATCGTAAATACTTCTATAAAAATAAAGAAAAATTAATCAACAAATCATCAATATATATTAAACAAATATATAGATAGACGCGAAAAAAATTTTTTATTTTGGTGTTACAGACTCATTTGTGAGAAAAACTAATTTTCACAACTAATTTTCTTCTTTTTCCTAAAATTTACGGTGAACAAAATTAATAATTATGGAGGTTATTTTAAACGCTATTGAACTTGTGACAAATTCTCAACCATCGCCATCTCCTTCAACTGCTACTACTCTCCCAAACTTTCAAAAATATTCAACTACTACTATCAATAATAATTCAACAAACAAAGCCACAACAAATAATTCTAATAATGCTACTTTAACTGACAACGAACCATCATTTCAGAAATTCTCTATTCGTCAAGAAAAAGATTTTACTAATCAAATCCGTCAACTCAGTTACAATTTTAAACCTATAACTACATCCATCAACGATATTATTAACAAAGAAGACAATGATAATTATAGTACAAGTAATGAAAACAACGGTAAAAATTCATTCATTAGTAATGCAATGTCAATATCCTCCTTGATTGACACGGATCAACCAAAACATATATCATCGTTTCCTATGGCACCATCATCTTCACCTCCTCAATATAATAATAATAATAATAATCATCATCATCATCAAAATAATCACTCAATCTCTTTACCACTTCCAAATATTAAATCAATTCATCATCACCTTCCACACGTACAACAATCAACTCAAAATATCAACACTTTATTAAAATCTACTCCTTCACTTCCTAATGTTAATCAAACAATTGGAGATATGGGTGTGTTAAATCATTCAAATAATTCATCATTATCATCATCGCCTTCTTCTTCCTCCTCTTTCTCATCATCATCATCATCACCTTTGTCGTCATCTTTATCATCATCTTTGTCATCATCTTCTTTAGTATCCCTTAATAAAAGGAAACATGTTAAATTGTATAATGATGATAATGATCTCGAAAAGACAAGATATTTAAAAACCCTTTGTTCCTCAATTAACAATTTTCCATCAACAAAAACAGTTATCAATGAAAACGAGGACGCGGAAATTAATCAACAAAACGGACTTAATAATTCATCTACTTCATCATCATCATCACGAACATTATCGTCAACGTCACCAATTCCAATATCGTCATCGTCGTCAACAACAATTACGACATCATCAACATCAATGCCAATGAAATTACCCAGTTATCGGTATCAACCAATAATAGTTTCATGTCATCACACGACTGTTGCACAAAAATCTTATGGTAGTGAGAAAAGATTTTTATGTCCGCCACCGGTAGTAATCTTTAATAGACAACAATCATCAAACTATAGCAACAATAGTAATAATTTTAATGTTAACCAAAAAAAACTTGAACTATCGATGGCAGTATTATGTGAAAACGATATAAATTCATCAGAACATAAAGTGTCACTTGACGACGATATGAATGGTACATTCAAATATTTGTACGTTAATGGAACTGCTAAATCTAAAACTTTTACACTTCAATTGAAATTATTTGAAAAAGAATCCTCGATTCCACATCTAACAATTGATTCATCACCTGTTACTATCATATCAAAACCATCAAAAAAATCAGCTAAAGCAAAAAATATTTCATTATGTATTTTGTCTGGATCTGAAGTTTCGTTATTTAATCGTATCAATTCACAAACTGTACGAACTAAATATTTGGAAATTGAAAATGGAATATTATGCGCAACAAATACTTCTTGGTCACCATTTAAAATCACTCTTTTAAATCAAAATTATAACAATGATTTTATCAATTATAATAATAATAGCAATAATTCCACGAGTAAATCTCGCAACAACACTAACACTACAATTAATAATAATGATAATAACAACAGCAACAATAAAACTCCACTTATTACTTATGGATCTGAAATAGTTTTATCACATCCCGAGACAGGATTTAGATCTGATAAGTTGATTATTTGTAAAGTCGAAAAAAGTCGTATTTCGCAAAATGCAATTGGTCCTGTTAGTCAAATGCAAAAGGTAGCATTAAGATATGCCGGTCCAAATGATAGTAATAGTATTAATAATAGTAATAATAATAACAAGATTACTGGTAATAATAATTGCACTGGACATTCTAATGGACTACTTTATTTAAGTGCTTCCGGACCATTAAAAGTTGATGCAACACGATCATCCGATGCTTGTACAATAAGCTCATTATCACCTTTTCTAAGATATCAATCATCACGTATATTTCAAATGCAAAATGTAGAATTCACAAAAGAACCATTTAAACCAGCATCATCCCCAAATAAAAATAATAATGAATCAAATCCCATTATTGAAGAAATTGATGATCACCTTTGTTGGACCATTGTTGGAATATGTAAGTTTTTTATTAATTGGTTGGTTGATAAATTAAAAGAATTATAAATTAATTTCTTTAAAATTTTTCCACACAGCTAAATTTCAATCGACATATTATGATAAATCAGATTATACTTCAATTTCAACATAAGAAAATTTCGTTATATTCATTTGAAAGTGAGAATAATATTGATTATGCTATTCCTTATGCTAATAATAATAGTCGAATAATATTTGCAAAATATTTTTATTTTTTCTTGTAAATAGCTTTTTATAATGCAGATAAAAATAATAATCTAATGAATGAATGATAAAATTAAAATTAAAATTAAAATTAAAAAAATTTTCTTTAATATTAGTACTATAAATAGCAATAAAAATGCTATATAATAGAAAAAATGAATATGAATATGGGAACTTAACGCCACATAAAACTACTACTAGTACTAGGGGTTTTAACTGTCACAACATATCCACCCGATTTCTGCAAGGTTACATCATTTTATACTGTTTTTGGGGTATCTTGATATGTGTAACCAGCCCCTCAATTTGTTATTTATCCCTATTTTAATACCAAACCAATCACTTTTTAGTAAACCAATCACTTTTTTATATATGCATATACAGTGAGTAGGGTCTCGTAGGATTGCAAGTAGTTGAAGGAAATTTGCTAATTTTTTTAAATTTTTTAATCAAGAAAACAACATAACAACAATAATGATGATAACAACAACTTGGAAAATTGCATCATACGCAATAAATCATATAAAACAAAAAATGGTTCAGTACAACATGAAAAGAAAAAACACTTTGGATATTGTGGATATCCTCCTTCAGATATTCCTTCTCCTATTCAATACTACTTGAACACAATTTAAAGAAAGTTTAATTTACAATATTAAAAAAAAATTGACATTACATCACAAAAGTTTAGGGAAAAAGACATTAACTATTCCATGTAGTGAGGGTATGTTTTTAGGCGTTTTTAAAAATGATTTGGAAAGATATTCCCCTGCTATAAGGTTGTACTTAAGTTCATTCATTGGAGAAGAAGGTAACAAAAGGTTAGAAAATTTACTTGGTGATGAATGAGGATTGGTCAATTAGATATTTTGATAATAATCAATTTGCCTACATTGACATTGTTAATTTTGAGGTAAAGGTGGTATGGAAGGAAACAAAAATAATAGAAGGGAATGGAAAAATTACAAATTCTTCTAATGTAACCATTAATTTTTCTACAAATAAAGGAAGTAATTTTCAAAATTAGAATTTTAAAAAATTTATTCCCGATTAGGAAAATTTCCATATGATCCCCAGATTATTGTTTTCCATATTTTTGTATATACCCCAAAATGGGCACGCAAATCGGTGGATATGAATTAATTGCAGTCGGTGAATATATACTAAATATGAAAATCCCTTGTTGATCAATTCATTAATTCTTTCTCTTAATTTCCTTAAAGTACGCTTTTACTTAAATTTGTGTACCAGGAGTTCAAATTTGTTGGTCTTTTCTTTTTTTACCTATAATGGATAAACATCAAGACCATTTATTTTCATTTGCTGAGAAATAAGAAATATATTAAAAATACAATAGGAAATAAAGTAATGCGTAGCCAAGTATTTCCTATATTTATTAGCATTTGAATAAGACAAACAAATTGTTAATAACAATTAATTGTAAATATGGACAATAATTCATTGTATTCATTATTTATTCATTAATCTATATTATTTGGCTCTGTTATTGTTATAGTTTCAAACAGAACCTTCTATTTATTTTACTGTTCCCGGCCATACTGCGCGAGGAGAGTATTAAAACAATTGATAATAATAAGCAAGGTCCATGATTCGTTACACTATACGTTTAAAAGACACGGAAGGTTCAGTCAGTTCCTTAGCTTTTGCTATCGCAGCTGAACATCCTTTATTACAATCAAAGAGATATCTTCTCTTATGAATATATCAGGTCACAGTTCACGTTTACTATCGTGACAGACCAGAATTTTTGATACACATCAAATTACCCATGGGTCTGGGTCACTTTACCGACAATCAAGTAAGATTTCTAGCCCAAACTGTTCTCAAAGCTCGAACTATTTTGGCAATTTGGGCTTTTCAACATTTTTTATATAATAAAGGTGTGAATTTTAACATTCCAAATCATTGCTCTTTTTTTTTTCATAAAAATTCAAGAAATTATGTTTAAAAGTATTAAATGCGAGAGAAAAGATTTATTTATTTATTTATTTAAAAACAATTTAAAAAAATAACATGAAGTCCGAATATGCAATTTTTATCAATTTCGTCAGACAAAAAAAAAAATTACACATGTATCTATATTGTATTTTTATAAACTGGTTTTTGATGCAAAGTAAGGATAATAGAGTTAATTATTTGTAGTGCAAGGTCAGTACTCGATGAACAGTTGATTTAACTTGCCTGTAAAAAACCAAACTTTTAGTTTCTACATAGAGTTATTCAGGTCTTCACACAGTCCTTGGCAAATTGTTAACACGATGCTTGTTGGTAAAGTGTCCTGTCTGTAAAGTGGATGGGACCCTTACCCACCACACAAGGAACAAGTTGAAGATGTACGGAACTCATTGTTCATGACAAAGCTGCTTCACGCGTGCCCGCGTGGTATTTATTGCATACACAACCACTACCAACTGTCATTTTTTCGCACAGCCTTTTGCTCATAAATAAATGATTTCATTGCAAATGACATCAACGACATCCGCCATAGAAATCAAAGATTATTTATATCAAGGTAATATATGACATAAAGAGATATATGAACCATATTCGTAGACATTAGTGATAGCCAGCAGGGATTAGAATTTACTCCCGTTATAATGACATTCATTATGTATCCCGTTATAAGAGTATAAGGACGTAATTGGACAAAAAATATTTTTATAATAATAATAATAAAATTCATCCCGTTATATATTAATATAGTGACATCCGTTATAAGGGCATGTCAGTACAACGAGAGAACCAATCAAATCACTATGGCAAAATTAGATACAATAAATTCTAATTTTAATGTTTTAATATTACTGATACTAAACACATTAAACACAAATTACTTACATCAAGTTTATTATTATTAACACTAAATTAACAATAATCAAATTCGCAAATTGTTTTGGTGGTGACAAAGTATCTATTATTTTCAAGAATGGGTTTGTGAATTGTAACAAAGTATCTTTATCATTTTTCAAGTCATGTGATTTTATATAAACTCCCGTTATAAGAACATCTTGTTGTACGGATATTTTTTGCTTGTCCCATAAGTGTCCTTATAACGAGAGTGACCTGTATTATCATTTTGCATATTCTCTCAAGCAAGCTGTGTTAAAGTCTATTTCTCTTTCAAATTCTCTCCAACATTAGGAAGTTTTTTCCTACATAGGATTTACAGTCAAATCTTGTCACAACGGACCTCACCACAGCAGATTTCATGTTACAATGGCATAACAGATTTTATTAAATTTGTTCCAGATTTTTGATGGATGTCTCCTATATGGCTACTAGTCTCACCACAACGGGTACACGCGACGTTGGGGTGTTATACATCAGCATACAGTTGGCACTCGATACAAGGAAGAGTTTGTTTTGGCAAAAAACTTCACTATATACTGTAGTGCGATTCATTATATAAAAAGATCGGCAAATTTTTATTTACAAAAAAAAAAAATAATAATAATAAAATTCATTAATTTTTAGTAGTAAACCAACAATCCAATTTGCTTTGTTTTTTTAGAAGCAAGAGAATGGTTGGATATATGACTTTTAACTGATTTTATCAATTTAATGTGTTTTAATTCAAAAGTAAGGTTTTCAGGTGGATTTTGAATATAAGGAAGGATGGTATCAAGATTTTAATGCATTTTCTGTATTCGACAGCTACTAATTCATCTTCTGGTTCAGATTTAGCAGTTGGTTTTACATAACTAATAATTTCTTTGTCAGTATTCAATATACAATTATTTTTTTAGAATTATTTATTTATTTTTTAGTCGAATGATTATATATTTAATATTTTATTCATTTCAATATGGTTGGCTCAGTCTAAAGACCTCCTATTGCTACGTCACGAGCTCAAATTTCAAAAATTGCAATTTCGTGATTCGTTCAAAAATGCAATAAAATTTTTTAAAAAAGGGTTACACGTGATTTTGGTTAAAAAACTATTTTCCTTACTGCCAAATTTAGATATGATGGTCGAGTATTAGGCTAAATTTAGGAATGATGATCAAAAACTAGTCTAAATTTAGCAATGATCCTAGCGCTCAAATTTCTCATGAGCATAGTAAAGTACATGTGAATAGAACTCTACAATAAATAATTTTTTAGAGAAAATCTCTTCATTACATTAAAAGTAGAAACCTATTTTACCAACTAATAAGGCTATTTTTTTATAAGGTAGGACAGAAAATGACTTCTATACTTTTAAAATTTGCCCAAAATTTAGGAGGAGGTCTTTAGACCAAGCCAACTATAGAATTTTTAATCAAATGATTTTTGAAAAAAGTGCCAGAAAAAATTAATATTATTATTATAATTATGATAAATTAAGTAATGATCAACATATTTGTTTAGAAACTTCATTATATCAAGCTCTATTTAAATATAACTATATAATTATATCAAGAGTTTATATTTAAAAATCACTATATCAAGCTGGATTTATATATAATGAAATGAGAAATTTGCCATCTTCACTATATCGAGCACCAACTGTAAACACAAACATAGTTGAGCACACACATAATAAATCATATGCCAGCTGATGAAACATGATATCAGATAGATCTTGATTCTCAAGCTCAGGTAAGAGTGATCTTATTTCTAAGTAAATTATTGCTTTGTTATATCTTAGGGGGAATCTTTCTCAGTATGTGGTAAAACATCCTAGCAAGTCATGTTCTGACCTTGCTGCAACCTTCATAATGAGGTGTTGAAAGAAAAAGGGCTCACTATGTATCTAGCAAAACATTCACTGTACAATCACCTTACCTTTTTTATCTTTGGTGTTAATAATTTCGATTTCAGACCTGGGATTTTGGATCTGATTGTGGCTGAGGTAACCTTTTGGTAAGGCTCTGAACGAATTGAATTGAATTGAATTTGAGAGTAATTTGATTCGATTTGATTCGTTCTGTAGTCAATTCAATTCGATTCGAATTCAAAAAAACAGGATTCGATTTGATTCGATTTGATTCGATTTGATTCGTGACTCGATTCGAATTGATTCGAATCAAACCGGATTCCTAAAAAATTTTTAACGTCATATTAATATTAAATTTATATTTTTAATTTGATAATTTAAATTTATATTACACAGTGAATC